GAGAGAGAGAGAGAGAGAGAGAGAGAGAGAGAGAGAGAGAGAATGAAAGTACAAATTACGTGACTCTACTTCTAATTCACTGCATGTTTGCACACAACTAAAGCATCAAATATTTCTCACAAACAAAATCAATATTTTCTCAAATTTATGGCCTCTTTTTAAAGCGAACGGAAAATAATTACAAAGTTTCAAAAAACATCGTTTCTATTAAAGCATAAATAAGAAAATATACATAAATGTCTAGAAATGGGTTAAACCTGGTGTTAGGTTTACATTTAATCAAAAGGGTTAGGAATGAAATATTAGATAAAATAATAAAAATATATTAAAGACAGAAATAATCTTCAAAACATACACAATCAGAGCTATTCAGAGAACTAACTTAAGCAACAGCTATGACTAGACTTGTGAGATGAGTCGCAACTTCCATTCAGAGAACCAACTCAGCAAAGTTGCGACTCAAACAGCGACTCAACTTCGCTAAAATTTAAGTCACAGTCCTATCAAACTTATCCCTGAAATGTTGACTGCAATGTGTGCACTTGTGTATTGCTGGGCCTGTAAGTTGCTTGAATGTTGTCTATAGTGTGTGTGTCTGTGTATTGCAGAGAAGTATTGATATCAAAACAGGTTTTTACAATGTGTTGTATGAATAAAATGATTGCAAAATAGCATTCAATTAAACATGTGTGGTGAGAGACGTTCATATATCACGCACTTTACGCATGTGTAATGCATAATACCGGTTTTGAGTCACTCACATTTTAGTCCAACTCAAAATGTGTCTTTGAATAGAGCTAAAAATCTAAGCAACAACTAGCACTAATCTTACAAATAGATAAGCATAAGTTTGAGCAAGTTTCTAGAATAGCTCTGAATATATGCAATGTATGCACAATAATAATATGATCATTGAAAATGAATTGTACACATTTGTATTTTTCGTTTTTATTTAATATGTTATGTAAAGATGTTTTGTGAGTTAAAACCAATTGCGAAGAATGCATGTGTTAATTGAAGGGACGATTTATAGACAATAATTGCATAAATAAATCAATTGTTGTTTGCAGTTACAGACCTATTATTAAAATTACTCTTAAGTTAAAAGTTTTAACTACACATTTAACGCATAACAGTAACATGTTAAATTATAAACTATGGTAATAATATTTAACTGAACGGTGAAATGAACTCAACTTATTTCAAAGGGAAGACTCGGACCAAACTTTTTTATCGCAACTCTTTGTTGCCAAATGTTGTCAGACGTCCGGCGCCTTCACTATAACAAGTCTTTTCGTTTTCTTGGAATATATTTCTGAATTTGTTGTAATATTATATCATTTTGTAAAATAAAACTTTGAGATTTGCATTAATCGCATAAAGAAATCTCATTTAAAATAATACTAAAGAACTTGATATTTAATTTTTTTCTAAATATTGTTATCTTATTTTTCACTTTTGTTTTGTAAATTTTGATTTATATTTTGTTCAAAATCTGTGCTCAACTTTGTTTTATTAATATTAGTAGTTAACACATGTCTGATAACAAAAATTCACTGGCATTATTTGATTGATTAAATTTATAATAATTTTTTTAATCGCATTATTATTGAATGCCTTAAAAGAGTTTATTTGTGAAATATTTAACGTGAAAAGTGAGAAAATGTTATCAAAAATTTCGGAAAACATTTTGTTTAAAATTTTTGACTTTCTTGATATCAATGAAGTGTTTGTATTGAGATTGGTTTGCAAGCAATGGAATGAATTGTTTGGACATTATTTAAATAAAAACTTCTTCAATAAGACATCTCTTGGATTTCGTCTTCAGACAAACCAAATGCCAGCCGTTTATGGCCAGAGTTTGGGTCACAGAGAGTCCACAGCATTAGAGCGCTGGAACTGCTCTGACGACTACCACTACTCACACCACGATATATATGCCACAGATTTACAGAAAGCAAGTTTTATTTGTATATTTAATTTAAAAAGATTATTAATTGTTACAAATTTAATAGTTTACAGAATGTGGATCTCTGTTGTTGATAATGTTGGAGAACTGTCCGCAACTTTTATCAATGGATTTGCGATATTTAACTCTAAACATAAACTTCTTGAGTACAATCAATAAGTTGTGTCCACATATTGAGTGTCTTCACATCAATTCTATTCAAATAGATTCCAAAACATATAATTATTTGTGTCTCAAACTAATACCCAGAATATGCCACTTATCAGTTGANTTGTGTCCACATATTGAGTGTCTTCACATCAATTCTATTCAAATAGATTCCAAAACATATAATTATTTGTGTCTCAAACTAATACCCAGAATATGCCACTTATCAGTTGATAATACATTTGAAATCTGCAATTCAGTCAATCAAACAATAAGATTGGATCAGCTCTTTAACAAAAGCTATCGATTACAAGAATTGAAACTTGATGTCTACCCAATTGAGCCTTATTTTGATGCAAAAAGCTTTTTATATTTGCGGCCAAATATTAAATTTATTCATTTATCAATTTATTTAAATGATGTTAACACAAATCAAACGAAATTTAGAGATATAATTAAGAACTTAACCGAAGGCTACGGTAAAAACATTGAGTTCTTAAGATTATATTCAGAAGAATCGGATTTTGGATACATTATAGAAGAAGACGCGGAAAGGTTTAGACAATTGTGAGCATTGAATCTGAGTTTGCGGTCAACAAAACACTTTCACTTTATGTTTAAAACTATCGAAGAACTCGATTCACTTGAATGTCTCACTTTGGATATGAATTATTTGAAAGAATCCGAGGATTTACTTAAAATGTATTTTAATTTTGAGACTTTGAAGCGTTTGCGACTACAGAATGTGTTTATTAGTAAAGAAATGTGTCATTTAATGAATGATAAATACAATACTTTAGAAATGATTCAATTTATTGATGTCTTCTTCCAAGACATGAACACAATTTTGGACTTTATTTTAAATAATAATTATTTAGATTATTTGCTCATTGAATATACCGAAAGCGAAATTCATAAATTAAAATTTGATCAAGAACAAAGTAATGAATTTTCAAGTGAAAAATTATTTAAAATTATTGAAACAACTGAAAATTTAAAGCATTTGTATTTAATTAATTGTCCGACAATTAGTTTAAATACATTACTTGAATGTCAAAAGTTAGCTAAAGAAAAGAATATTGAATACGAATACAAATAAAACAACTCACATCATTAATTCATGTATATTACCGTAAACGCCGCATGTAGTGGCATGCTATTTTATAATACAAAATATAACTTATTTATGTAATTCTATATTTTATTACTTACATATGAAATAATAAAAACCAATTTGTGCCAAGAGTGCAATTGGGATTAATTGTTATAGAATTAAAGTACACTCTATTAGAAGTCTAATAGTATAATTCATTTGGTTATGAGCTCGGGTATGGCCGCTGTGACCGCTTTTATCGGGTTAAATTTTAAAATGAACCGTCTATTTTTGAATAAGTATATCATATTTTTATCAATGGAAAGGTAGGGGTGGAAAGAATTAAGATCTGAAGGAATTTTCTAATTCTGACCTAATCGTAAAAAGTTATTGTAAAAATAATTAAATCAGTGTATATTTTGTACGGTATTGATAATGAAAAAGGCATAATTGTAGTCCTTCCATATTAATTTTAATTATACATATCATGATAATTATTTTGACAAATTAAAAGAATTTTTCAAATAAAATTTTTGGCATTTTCACTGAAAAATTAATAAAAAGCATCTAGTTTAAAAGTGGGCACAGAAACCTCTTGGAATTTAATTATGAAGACAATTGTATAATTACAGAATTATTTGGTATTACCATATTTCCTTATGCAAGTTTACGAAAAATAAACCAAAAATGTATTTATTATGTAAAAGTATCGATGATTTATATTTCCTATATTTGTATTTCTTATCATATTTTTCTAACACATTGTAATGACTTTACGTAATATTTATAACAATTTTTGTTTAAATAATGTAATGATTAAAACAAACTATTTTAAATAACAATACAATACTGTATCGCGCTTTCAACCCATCGTTGCCTTCATTTCAAAAATGTTATATTATTTTCAAAACGTTTTTCAAAAGAGAAGTTGTTTTTCTTTTAATTTGATTTCGTTTTTATTTTAAATTTATATCAATTGTAAACTTTCTATAAAAATGAATGAGAAATTGGTTTCCATCGGAGTTCTCACGAGTGGAGGCGATTCACAAGGTTTTCAATTTGAAGATTTTCTACTTAAGACTTATTTACAGAATATTTTTGTGTTAAAGGCATGAATGCTGTGATTCGTGCAGTCGTTAGAATGGGTTTATACAACAAATTCAAAGTATACCTCATTTACGAGGGCTATAATGGGCTTATTTTTGGTGATCATAATTACATCGAAGAGGCAAATCTTTTCTCTGTTGATCACATCATTCATATGGTTTGCAAAAAAGCAATTGTCATAAACTTTATGTTAACTAAATATTTTGTATGAAAGGGCGGAACAATAATCGGTAGTTCACGTTGTCCTCAGTTTAGACAAATCGAGGGCAGAATTACCGCCGCTTTGAGTCTCATCTCAAGAAATATTACAAATCTAGTTGTGATCGGCGGCGACGGCAGTCTTACCGGCGCTGATCTTCTTCAACAGGAATGGACTGAAATACTCAATACATTAGTTCAGAGAAGTATTATTCACTGATTTATCCGTTTATTTGTTTCAAACAATAAAGAAGTCTTTCTTTTATTTGAAGATAAAATAACCGAAGAAATGAAAGCAAGAAATAGTCGTTTGAATATTATAGGAATTGTCGGTTCAATTGATAATGATTTTTGTCAAACGGAGATTACGACCGGAGCCGACACAGCACTTCATCGTATTGTGGAGTCTGTGGACGCCATCGCCACCACTGCCACCAGGTTTTGATCTTATTTTATATTGATTTTAGTTTTGTTTTAAATTTATCACAATTTTTATAAAAACCAATTGAATTAGCCATCAAAGAGCTATGATTATTGAAGTGATGGGAAGAAACTGTGGCTATTTAGCACTTGTCTCAGCTCTTGCAGTTGAGGCCACTTTTACATTCTTCCCGGAATCGCCTCCCGATAACAATTGGCCTGAATTTTTGGTTCAAAAGATTGAAAATGTATAGAAATTCCGTATAATATATGATTATTTGTGATTTTAAACAGTTTTATGATTTTAGGAGCGAAAGAACGGCCGAAGACTTAATATAATAATCATATCGGAGGGCGCACTCGACATGAATGGACAGCAAATTACTGCCAAAATGGTTCAAAATGTTATTTCCAATAAAACCAAACGAGATGTTAGGATAACTATTTTGGGACACATTCAACGCGGAGGCCTTACCTCAGCATATGATCGCATTTTGGGCAGTCGTATGGGCGCCACAGCAGTCCAGGTATGTCTTTGCTTCACATCTGATCCATTGTTCAAATGGTTCGCATTTTATAGATTGTGAAGGAATCGCAACAAATGGCCGAATCCTGTGTACTCACTATGAGTGGCAACAAAATCATTAAAAAATCTCTTATCGAAACTGTTAAACAGGTATTAATTAATAATAACATGAAATCACTTATAAAAACTTATAAATTGATATGATTTAAGACTCGATCGATTGCGACGGCGATGCAAAACAAAGAGTGGAGTAAATGTGTTGAGTTGAGAGGATACAGTTTTGGCAGAAACTTCCAAACATTGAAAAGTATTTATGGTATTTATAATTCTGACAAAATGAATGGACACAAGATTGCGGTCATACAAGTGGGCGAACCCTCTCCGGGAATGAACGCATCGATCCTTGGATTTGTCCGACACATCATAATCAACGAAAACACTGCTATCGGAATACAGGACGGCTTTGACGGTCTTATTAGTGGCAAATACTCTGCGATGAAGTGGTCGGATGTGAACGGATGGACGTCTCAAAGTGGAGCTCTTATGGGCACGAGTAAAGTGCCCGCAGATATAACAGACCAACACATTGAATGTGTGGTCAAATATTTTACTGATTTTCAAATATCGGGTTTCCTTATTATCGGCGGTTTCAGAGCATTTCAATTAGCGCTCAAATTAATTGAGTGTCGAAACAAATATACGGCTTTGAAAATACCGATCGCTATAATACCGGCCACTATTGACAATAATATTCCCGGAACTGACTTCTCTTTGGGAACCGATTCCACTCTCAATAAAATAACCAATTTATGCACTGATATTATCGTTTCTTTGAAAGGTATTACTATTTGATTGATTTAGAAATAACTTTTAATTAATTATTATTTTTGATGTTTTGCTAAATAAGGAACGAAAAGGCGTTTATTTATAATTAATATAAACTCTGATTATTGCGGTTACTTAACCATATTGTCAGCACTGGCTTCAGGCGCCGATTACTGTTATGCATATGAGTGTGACTTCACTATTGATTCTGTGAGAAGAGATGCCAACAATATTAAGAACAAAATGCTATCCCAAGACACAAATAGATTGATACTTGTGTTTGTATTTAATGACCATTTTTGTAAACATATTGTGTTTAAAATGATTATATCTTTAATAGGAATTGTATGGCAAACACTAAACTCAAAACAAAAACCATTACCGAAATCTACACCGAAGAAGGAAAGGATGTTTTCACCACAAATTTTGTCGATTTAGCA